TGTGGATTTATGTTTCCATTTTTAAATATGATAAATATTTTAAGTGAATGCATATCACTTATTCTGCAAATATTTAGATCTTACTGATGATGTAACTTAGTATTACACATTCACTTAAAACATACATATTTATTATAGAATTTAAATACACAAATATACACAGTTTTCAATATCTGTCTATATTTCTGAGATGAGGTACTCTTTGGGTCAAGTCACTGAATTAGTTTAACTAACACTGGGCCATGTGTCCTTGAGTTCAATAGCTGGTTACAACAGAGGTGAACAAAAACTTGGAGAGTTGAGTTAAGGGGAAATAACTGATACTGAGATATCCAGAAGAGGCATGATACATGGTACTATACCATTACAAGTTCAAAATGAGAAAACCCAAAGTCAAAATGAGAAAACCCAAATTTAATACATGAATAGTGTTTATTGATATAACCATACAAATTTAATACTTAATATCATTCAAATTTAATACTGATGGATGTATTCTTTGGATTTTTGCTATGACTCAATTGCATAGCATTGGCATTATTTCCTTTAAGGAACTTTCAATGATGCCTACCAATTTGTTCAATTGAAAATCCTTTTTCATTGTCCCTAATGGAATTTCTGCATTGGTGATCTCATCAATATTTTCAACCAATTTTCTTTTAATGAATGCCTTTATAACTGACCAAATATTATCTATTGGATTAAGCATTGGGTTGTACAATGCCATTCAGAGAAAATGATTGAGCTCAAATTCTTGATTGATTAAAACTCTCTCAATGTTGGAGTGGCATGGAGCATTGTCAGTGACAATAACTGTTGGTTCCTGATACATTTTATAGGCCTTCCACAAGCATTCCTTTATCCAATTTTCAGCCACTTCCTTATTGTAGGAACCTCAATGAATTTCATGATTTATTATCCCCTTGGTACCAATGCATCCAATTAGATGAATATTTGCACCCTTAGAAACCATTGAAGATGTACTGCATCTTTCTCTTCTCAATCATTGTGTAATAATAAGCAGGTTGAAATTTGTTTCATCCATAAATACGATATATATACTTATATCTTTGATAGTGTACATCAAGCCATCCAGGTGCTGGCAAATACATTCATTTGATACAGAAATATCATACATCTTCTGAATTTCTTCTGCAAGCTGAGAACAGGTTATTCTTGGGTTCTGCCCAATCTGATCAACCAAAATTGTTACTGGGTCTCAGAAATCTTTGAATGCCTATAATCTCCTCTTGTAACTTTATAACCTTCCTTTATCCATCTATATGCAGTGCATGTTTTGATTCCTAAACATCTTGTTGAGGATTTCCAGTCTCCATCATTTTTGTAGACTGCCAAAAATTACCTTTTCTTTTCATGGGCTTTGGATTATCATATGTATGTCTTTTGGGCCATGGTTGTTAAGTGATGAATTGAATGAGCATAGATTTTTCAATTGGCAATGTATTACTTGACTATATAGAATAGTGTTCAATAGCTTTGAAACACCTTGGTTAAAAAAACCTCAAATATATATATATATATATATATATATATATATATATATATATAAACTTCAGGTTTGAATATAAAAATAAAAAAATGCTATGCAGGTGGATCAGACCCAATTTATTTAGAAGTTGTAAAATATCAATTGCTAGAAAAAATGAAAAGAGAATGCTTAATATTAGTGCATAGTTGTGATTTGAATTTGCATCTTTGTTTTATTGTGTTTACTTTGGAAATTCTCCTTTTGAACCTGTAATTTTACAGAACAATCTACCTAGGTGGATGAAATAAAGGGTTCAGTTTAAAATTACAATCATCTGAAGGAGGCCAGAGTGTACAACAGCTGAAATGTCATGAATATGGCAACAAAGATAAGGACAACAGTCCAAACAATGTAAATAGTGTAAATAAACACAATTTTCAATATACACTTCAACAATGCTAACATTTCAAAAATTAAACATTAACACTTATGCTGTAATGTATACATGTGACATCTATACAACTAATGAAAACAAAACATAAAATTTAAAAAATGATACAGTAGATGTTCTCATATCTGACTTCAGAGTAGTTTGAATATAAGGATTGGTTTGGATATAATGTGACATGTGTATATATAACTATAACTTAACAAAATACAATATATTAAAAATTAAGTGTCTCACAAAAGTAAATATTAATTTGAAATGTTTAATGCTCAATAAGTTTTATTTTCAATTGCCTTTCCTATTTCTTTTCTCCTTTTGCTTACTTTTCACCTTTCTAGTTTTTGTAAAGTAAGGTATTTCTGCAAATTATGTGCACTTGTACATTCTGTACTACTGAACAAAGATTTTTTCTCTATCAGTTTGATGACCTCATCAATAGCTTTCTCTAATGAGTCCCAGTCTTCTTCATCATCCTTCATATTTTCACTATTATTGGAAGAATTTGATTCTTCTTCTATTTTGTGACAATCTAAATCATTTTGAAGTGATTCTACCATTGAATTCTTTTGTAATTCATTACCATCTTCATTTATCCATTCTTTTAAGTCATCCAAAGTGAGAGTATTCAGTGGATCATTTTCAAGTGCAAGTTTTAGTGGTCTGCTCAGATTCTGCAATCCTTCTTTGTTAATTTGCAAATTCAACAAATCAGAAGCTTCATCCAGTTTTTCAATGGTCTCTAATTTCTGATGTAACGTGAGAGAATTCTTTTTCCTTTTTATTCCAGTTGAAGTTTCTTCTATGTGAGACATTATGGGTTGAAAAATTTCATGTTACTAACAATTATCTGCAAAGAAAAGAAAAATATTAGAATGTAGCATATTCCTACAACATCAAAATGACAACACTTAGAAGTTCAGACATGAGGACATTTGGATATAAGGACTTCTACAGTACATACATAAACACAGATGCCACATGATATATGTTTACACAAATATATTGTTGTATATATGAAAACAGAAAATTTAAAGCTAAATAAATAGTGAAACATGTTACATTTATAAGATTTTCCTATATTTCTTATTTAATCATCAGATCTAATCCATATTTTCAAATTGTATGGTTTGAAAAATATATATAGATATGTTTTTTTGAGGACATATCTTTCTATAGCTTTGTCTACTAACTTATTTTTTGTTATATTCCATGCTAATAGGAATATATACTTGAAACACACAGTGGATAAAATAAGTAAAGGTTTATTGTAAAAACCAATACAATAAGAATTAAGGTAACAGTTATACACAAGGTTGCCGTAAGTCAATCCAGTAGTGAGTGCTACTATTGGGAGGTCAGTAGTTTTCATGTAAGTCTGAGTCATACTCAACAGATCTCAGCTAGTCTCTGTAGTCTGTTGACTTACAGATACTTATAGTTAGTTACTACCTATGGTGTAGTCACTCATGACAGGTTATTCCATTATATCATTTTTATTACCTTTTCTTTGCAGATAAATAATGTTAGGCATCAAGTTGGCTCAACAAATGAAAAGGGATACTGTAATCGTTGTCTTAAAAGTACAAGATAGCTTATTTGCTGAAAGTTGCCTGATCTTTTATTATTAAAGTTCAAAAGCTGTTGATATTGATCCAATAGCAACAGCTAAGTGTAAAACACATGCTACAGGTCTTAATATTATGAGAACACCTAATTTTGTACAACAGGCCCAGAAAATAATTAATAAGAGCCCCAGAAAATCAATTAGAGCCATTATAAAGAATCTTAAGGTGTTGTTAAAGTGCACCATAAGAAGAGCTGTGAATGAGGACATCAGATCCAAGTCATATGTAATGTGAAGAGATCGGTTTATGTTGGAAAAGACAAGAGAGAATTGTTTGAATCATGTGAAGTGCTTGCTAAACAAGCTAAAACACCAAATGCTTTGGTTTTTCTCCATTGAGAAAAACTTTGATCAGGATCAAATGGTAAACTGAAAAAATGATAGATGGTTATGTAGAGAAATTCTAATGTGCATGCATAGCAGGTTCCCAGGAACTGTGATGGTTTGGTAAGTTGTCAGCAATGAAGGATATGTCATTCTCTTCGCTTCTTTCCTCAGGGATTAAGGGTCAACAATCAAGAGGAAAAATTGTGAATCCCAGGATAGATAGCATATGCAACAGAAGACTGTACATCTTCCAACAATATTCTGCACCATCTCATAAGGCTAAGATAACTCAAGCTTGAATGTGTGACTTTCTCCATGATCATGTTCTCCCAAACACTGGGTACTGTTAGCTTGGATGTGTAGGTGGTGTAATGGATAATAACTTGGAATTGGTAATTGGAGAGCTGAGTTCCAATTCCCATTGGATTTGTTATACTAACTCACCAGACCGGAATACACTAGGTTATTGCGTATGGTGCACAGTTGAGACAGACGTTAGTTAGTGTCATAAAACTTCTCAAGTCCACCATAACCTGGATTATGTTTAAAATTGATAATGATCATTTGATTTAGGCATGTCAACATTTCTGACTCCATATTCAAGTAGTCATTGATGCTAACTGTGGATTCATTGAATAGATGTGATAAAAGGGTTCTCAAGATTATTTGTGCCAATTTATTTTAAAAGAAAGTATTTCATTTATGAACTATAAGTCTTTTTCTAAATTTATGCAAATATCCTCATAAAATTGTCACACTCTGTATATAAGTGTAATTATTACTCATAGAGACTGCAATTTTTATGTGCAGAAGCACAATTGCATTTTCTGACAAAGATTTGTCAGTTGGTTGATGTTTTCTACAGCTTATCAACTCTTTGCAGGTTATTTAAGTCCAGGAAATATGTTTAAGTTGTAAGATTTTTTTTTAGATAATGTTTTAGTAATACAAGTTTTACTAATATATCCATAGCTGGGGGAAGAAGAGGCGGATTCATACTTTTCTAAAAGGTATTTGCGTGTAAGTGAATATAATGAACCAAATGGAAATTGGAACAGCTCTCCAATTAACAATTCTAAACCATTATCACTTACATCACCCGCACATCCAAGATTACAGCACCTGGTATTCCCAAGCAGTCACCCATCTAGTTACTGATCATGTTCAACATTGCTTAACTTTGGTGATCATACAGCAACTGGTGATTCAATGCTTTATGGCCATAAGCACTTCAGAGAAAGAGATAACATATGAAAGAGATAACATATAGTGAATCTGTGTGTATGAGTATATACCTAACATTTAGATAGAAATATTATTCTATATAAATATGCATACATATTTATGTGTGCTGGAAAATTTTCAAAAATATTAAGCCCAAACCCCAGGTGGCCTTCCTCCCAGGCAGTACCTCTGCTTCAGCTGGGTTTATTGCCTGGCACCTGAGTCATCCACAAAAGGGGAAGTGCCAAGAGGTCTTGGGCAATTTTTCCATGGTATTGTTGTTAAACCCACTCTAAACCTCAACTTTGTATAACATTTGATAGCGATGTGGGTGTGTTGAAAAAATACCCATATTTATTTATATTTGTAGACAATACTGAACAGATTCATTGTTGTTTTGGCAACCATCATTATATGCCAGAAGTTGTGATCATGGTATTTTGCAGGCTTAATTCTGGTAAGCTTAACTTCTGTTGCATAATGTAACATGAAGGTGTTATATTGTATGATGACAAATAGAAAGTAACTGTGACACTTTTAAATTAATGTTGCCCAACAGCCATTGAAGCAGGATGACAATGAAGAAGCAGAAGAAAAACAAGAAAAATCGTGTTAGTTCATAGAGTTGAACAATTCAAGTTTGTACCATGTAAATTTCTTTGTACCACTGTTACATCGCATATAGCTGAAACTGGTGTCTAGCGAACTATGGTCTTTGTTCTATAACAGGTTGTATTGTTTGTTTTCAGGTCAATACCCTAAAGTTGCACGGTCTTGATTTCTCACTGAAAGTCAAAAGCCATCTTTTCCTCATCTTTTCATTTCTTAATAATACTAATAATACAATGCAATGGGGTTTGTATTGGCCACTTTTATTGTCCTCAACAGGGAAATGTTGCCAACAATTTGTTAGTGATGGAGTGAGTACAATGAGTGACATTACCTCAGCCTTTTACAGACCATCTGCTCACTACCAAGCCAAAAATCTCACTGAAGAACTTTGGAGTGAGGAAGTCCTTTTTTTGCCAGGAAATCTCACCTTCTTAGTAGTTGCTGATTCATCAGTTTACTGTCCAATGAAAAGTCATCACCACATGCTGCTTCTTTTTTTATTTTATTTTTGTGGTACACACAACAGTTAACTGACTTTATCAAAAATATAATATTTCAGAAACAGGATATGTTGGTGCCAATCCATACTGGAATTACTTCAAAAACGTCTCCCTTCCCAATGTTATAAGCAAAACAATACAGATGCATGCTGGGATTTCTCCCAAGCCAATAAGATAGCCCACTAAATGGTCTCATCCGACTTGGTTCTGGTCTTTCTTGTCTTGAAGTCAGAACTCTGGGATCACTTGTCTGTGTACTGTTTTGTATGTTAACACCATTCTTAGTTTATAAACTTTCTGCCTTATTACTGCAGCTTTGCTTTGTATAGATTGTTTGCTTGTTTAATATTAATTTTTGCCTTGTTGTTTTCCTTGTTATTGTTTTGTCAATTCTGTTTGTTGGGCATTTCTGCCAATTACATTTAGCCATAGCCAATTACTCTACAGAATACATTTTCAACAACCTGAGTTATTTTTTTATTTTAGTTAGATCTTTTTTTTTATTTCTAATCCATAACTTATTCCCTCCTATTTTACACACAATTTTAAACTCTCTCTCTTTATATATATATATATATATATATATATATATATATTTTCAATATGCACAACTAATCAAATATTCAACTGCCATCTTGGATTAGTATTATAAAAATGTAATGCTATAAATAACAACTTAGACATAACCTGTTTTCAAAAACACATATATCTCAAAACAATTAAATGCACAGATAACATTACTAGCAGCATGACCCAGCTAAGCTCTTTCTAAGCTCTATACTAAACATTAAATCTGTTATGAAAAAAGAACTAAACAAAATGAACATAAAACAATCACCTTTACAAAAAAGGACTTGTAACTGGAAAAACCAAATGAAAAAAGAATGTTAACAACAAATACTTTTTCATACCCAACCCAGTTCTGCGGAATCAGAATCAACGTTGAGTTTAAGCAAGCGAATGAGCCAATTGGAGTAAAGTGCCATGCAGATTTAAATTTTTCCCACTTGTAACGAATGCAGCTATCGATTTTTTTTGCATGCAAGTTAACATTCGTGTCAGTCAGCTGTTGGCTCTCATGCTGGCCAATAGAATCTTCCTGCCTGTTTGTTGCAGCCAGCTATAGGCTTTCACTCTGGCCAGTACAAAATAGCCGCAAGCTACATGAAAAGTGCTGTAGAAGCATGAAAAAATCGATTATTTCCACTATCGATAGGAGTTGGGAAATGCAAGGTTGGTCTTGGCCTTCCCGCTAACTTGGAGCATGTGCATGTAAATTTTGGTGCAAATCTGTCAAAATTGCGGCCGTGCATTCGTTACACACACACATACACACACATCCTGCCTTTTATAGATAGAGATTATACACAAATGCAAAATGTATAAGCATATGACATGTAATTTTTCATACATATAGAAATGCTTGTGGTTCAGTACACATTTGCACACATATTCTGTTATGTGTACATTTCTGATACAAGCACACACAAAATTATTTTATTTATGCAAAGTATATTCAATGAGAAGTTTCATGCCAATAATCCTATCTGTATGCATAATCTCTGTTATGAAATGTAATTACTCTCTCTTACACACATAAATTTTCATTTGAACATATACACAAATATATATTAAAATTTGTTCCCTGTATTAATAGACAATCTATTATCTGATGACAGAAATAAAGCAATACTAATCATTTAGATTTGTCTACACATCTTGTTTGTTATAACATTTCAGGCATTGTACTTGGTAATTTTCTTGGTAATTTTGAACCAAACCATTTATTCAATCCATTGGGATAGAGTGTTCTTATTCTGTTTTCCCTGCTTAGAAAATATCTTTTATAAATTTATTCTCTTGTCTATTTACTTTTGTGCTGTTTGTCCATTTCTTCTGCATTGAACAGGAGTATTGGTCTTTGCTGCATTACCTGAGCCAAGAATTGAACTAATAACTACCAGGGAACAAGATATCATTTAACCAATGCTTTAATTTACTAGCACATAGGTCATAGAACTTTTCAGTGTCCTTTCTTTCTCTGGCTCAATGGCAAAGACAAAAGGTGAAAGAGTGGAGAGTATTAACTGATATTAGTACTCAAAAAAAATTTCCTGAATTTGAACATTAAATAAATTTTATTATTAGTTAAGCTCTGGTATGAAAATTCTGTATGTGAAAATGGAATAAAAATAGTACTATTATAATTTCCAGATTAGTACAACATAACCTAATTAAGATTACAGGCAAATTACAGGTTCAAAAGTCACTCCTAATCTTTATAGGAGGGCTGTAAAGACTTAATATATATTGTCTCCAAAACGATGTCTTTATGACACAGTAGGCTGATGGTTATGCAACTAATGTTCAGTTCTGAAAGACCTGGATGGATTGCAAATTACTTTTGAAAACGGAAAGTACTTTGGCTGAATTATTGTGAGTATAACAACCAAGATGGATATACTAGTCTGAATAGAAAGGTATACAATAATGATTACTCATCTCAAAAATTCTTATATAAATTGTACAAATTTGATGGCAAAAAATAACTCATATTAATAAATCTTTTATATCTTTGAATTATCGAGCATTGCTGACTTAGTAAGAAGTGGTGCTGAAAATTGCTCAGCCAGACCCACTCCCCAGAATATTACTAACTGACAAAACATCAAATTTGTTTTTTTTTGGAAGGACTTTTTGGTTGGTTTTGAACATTTCAGCACCCCTTCATATAATTTTATGTTGCCAAGGTAAATTATATATATATATATATATATATATATATATATATATATATATATATATATATATATATACTGAAGAAAATGTATAATTCTGAACAACATACTTATTTAAAAACAGTTGATTTTGAATTTTTTCTATCATCTTCTAAACATTGGAGCATATAATCTTTTATATCAATGAATAAGAATTAAAATATAAATAAAATATTTTTTTCTTTTTTAATCAAATATGAATATTCTAGAAATATATTTTTGAAATTTATTTAAAGAGAGAGCAAGATATGTGGGTGTATGTTTATACACAAATTTATATCTGTATTTATTTACATCATTTTGGAATACTGCAAGTATTTCACATTTAAAGTAATTAATTATGAACACATATTTTTTATGACATACACATCTAACTTGAAATTAATGTTATATAAATACAAGGACATTTGGCACACATAAAACACAGCTGTGTTCTGTATTTATTTTTATCCATAGATAATCCTTTTTTTTCTAATATAAACAGCTCTTCATACAATAAAGGTTTTACATATCCTCGTTACTGTTTTTGTGCAATTAAAACATTGTAAATGCATTTTTGTAATATAAGAAATTATATGGCATTGCTGGTTATATGTAATTTTTATTTCAATGTTATTTTTTACATTTCATCATGATTTTATGTATTTACCCTTGTCCACTTTAGTACCATGAGATATCCTTACAGCCTCAAGTTAAGTGTTACTGCTGAGGTTTCTATAGCAAATAGGTTTTTTGGGGTGGAGTTGCCAGTCCCATTCCCAACTGGCTTTGAATTCAAAGTTTTCCTTCTTCTATACTGGTTACCAATTAAGGCTAGACAGCTTAGTCTATTTAACCCATAGCTGGAAGGAGAAGGGATGGATTCAAACTTTTGCAAGGGTATTGTGTGAAAGTGAATGCAACAAACTTGACCAGAATTTGAGTATGCTGCCTTCAAATACTGGTTGAGTGGAATTGTGAATATTGTAGCAGTTATTTGCATGGGAAGTGAAATTGGTGTTATGTATATACAAACATTATAAAGAAATATTTTTATATTAATTATATAAAGTATTTAAACATGTGCAAAAATATATAATACAAAAGGTATTTTTAATTAATGTTTGATTTGTACTTAATTCTACTGTTTGACTTTATTACTCTTTCAATTTGTTGTGTCGTGTATATTGCTAAGTAAGCGTTTGACCTCTGTTCTAGTTGGTGTCCGTTTATCATATGAGCTACCTGCTCATATGCAAATTATACTAATTTTCATATCACTACATCTCCCTATAACGGAGGGGCCTTATGCCGCGAGTACTTCTTGTACTTCTTCTTGTGCCCTCCTTAACATCTTCCTTTATCTCTCTCCTTTCCCTTGGAGATCTAGATCTATCACGTCTTTCCCTATAATCGAATTGTTCCTCTTGCATACTCTGGTCTTTCTCTTCTAACTTGTCCCATTCTACTTCTTCCTCTTCTAACTCATCTCTCTCTACTTCTTCCTCTGCAGATTCATTCTGCATTAACTCTTCTGTTACGTCAATAATGGGCATCTCTGAAGGCATTTCCTCATCCGATTCTTCTCCTTGGGATCTTATTTGGTCAGCATGAGCTAGAACACTGTTCCCATTTTCTTTATTTAATATTGCAGTATTATGTCCTTTCTGCATAATAAATTCGGCTGACTCGGGTTGCATATTCCTATTTCTTTTGTACCACATCTTTTGATTTGTGGCATATGACATAGTCAAAGGGGACCTTAATTGTCTGCCCATTAAGGCAGATGGACTTTCCGGCCTGCCTGCATGTGGAATTGTTCTGTAACTTAATAATAGTCTTGGTAGAAAAGCATTGATTTCCTCCTTCTGTTGCAAGCATGCTTTTATGCCCTTCTTTACCGTCTGGACCATCCTTTCCGCTGTCCCATTACTTTGAGGGTGGTAGGGAGAGGTCTTGTAAGGTCTGCATCCTATTTTTCTTAGCCATTCATGCAAATCAGCATCCACAAATTCTGGTGCGTTATCAGTCACCAATGTTCTCGGTGTCCCATTCCTCGAAAATATTACTCTTAATATTTGTTTTACGGTGGTACTTTTTTATCAGGTACTCTCACCACTTCAGGCCAACCTGAATATGCGTCTACTAATATTAATAATAGTCCTATCCCATTGACATAGGCATGGTCCATGTGTACTCTGCTCCATGGTTCTACTTCTTGGGGCCATACATGTATTTTCTTTTGCTTAAAATTCCTGAGTTCTGTGCATTTTTGCATCTTTTACGTAGTCTTCTACGTCTCTTGAGTACCCCGCCACCACGCTTCCAATTTTAATCTTCTTTGCGTAGCTGCCACTCCACAATGTACGTCATCGTGTACACTTTTTATAACCTGTCTCCTCTGTGTTTCTGGGGAACTACCAAGTCTCCATTACATATTATCCCGTTTTCTATAGTCATTTTATGTCTGATTTCTTTGAATGGTCTTTTCAGCCATTGAACAATTTCCCAGCGATTCTGTTTTATCCTCGACATTATTCTATTTAACACTGGGTCATTTGTAGTTTCAGTAGCCATTTTATCTACAGATATTACATCGGTTTCTACAAGGTGCAAGAATGTGTCTTCAAATTCTTCGTCGTTTTTGTCCTTCTCCTCTCTATAAAACCTCAATCTAGATAAGGCATCAACGTGTGGTATCATATTCCCTTTAACATATTCAATGTCAAAGTCGAACGCCATCAGTCTAATCGCCCAACGTAATATTCTGGACGTTGTAACTTTCGGTAGCTCTTTTCTTGGGTTGAAAATAAATTCCAGTGGTCTGTGATCACTTTTCAACAAGAATTTTTTTCCCCATCAAAAACTGTCTTGCTCTATCCGTTGTCCACACTATGGCTAGTGCCTCCCTTTCTCTATTCGAATAATTGTGTTCAGTTGTTGTTAATCTCCTCGATAAGTACATTATGGGATGCCCATCTTGTGACAAAATACCAGATATGGACTGTTCACTTGCGTCAGTAGTTAGAGTTATGTCCTTCTTAGGGTCAAAAATTTGTACTATTGGCTTTTTTGCCAGAATCTGTTTTAAGTTTTCAAAGGCTTTCTGTTGGTGTTCTAACCAAATGAATTCCATTTTTTTTTTTTTTTTTTTCTTAATTTAGCAAATGGTTCTGTCAACTCATTATATTTTTGGTACATATTTCCTATAAAAATTTACCAAACCTAAGAAGGACTCCAACTCTTTTTTATTTTTCGGTGTAGCAACTTTTAGAATTTTCTCTATTAGTACTTTATCTGGGGAGATCCCTTCCTTTGATATTGAGTAACCCAAAAATGATATTTCATTACTGTTGGTTACACACTTTTTTGTATTTATTGTCATACCAGCGTCTCTTAGCCGGTTCAGTATATTTTCAGTTTTTTTCTTTAAATCATCTTCATTTAAATCTCCAATACATATCTCGTCTTGATAACAGATGGTATTTTCAACATTTCCTATTACTTTTTCAATAGCTTTTTGAAAAATTGCACTTGCCGTTTTTATGCCATACGGCATTCTTTTCCACCTTAACAGGCCTATAGATGTGTTTATGGTCGTCACTTCTTTAAAATTTTCATTTATCGGTATTTGGTGGTAAGCTGATTTTAGGTCTATCTTCGAAAATACTTTCATTCCAGCAAGTTTATGTAGAGCTACTTCCACATTTGGAATAGGGTACGAGTCAGCACAAACTTTATGGTTCACCCCTATTTTATAATCTCCACAAATTCTCAGGTCACCATCTTTTTTTTTCAATAGCACAATGGGTGATGCCCATTTACTGGAGGGGCAGGTTCTAATAAGTCTTCCTTTATTAGCTTTCGCAATTTAGCTATTACCAACGGTAATAAATGCACTGGTATTTTTCTCGCTTTGTAGTAGGAGGGGGAAATTTTTCTTTTAATTTCAGGCTAGCTTCATAATTTTTTAATTTTCCTGTTTTTTCTATTTCTATCTCATTAATCAACTTCGTTGAATTTATTTTTAACACGTCACTCCCCAGTAGTCCATGCATTTTTCGGCAATTTGTAACTATAATGGGTACTATTTCATATTTTTCTTTTAGTTCTATTGAACCTTCAAAGTAACCCATAATTGCTATAATCGAGCCATCAAACTGACGTAATTGTATGTTGTTTTTTTTTAAAAACGGTTTTTCCCATTTTTTCCCACAAATTTCTGGGTACTATCGTGACCTCACTACCTGTGTCGATTTGCATTTTGACAATACAGACATTGATTTTCACTTTTATTTTTGTATCTCCGTTCTTAGATCCAGTATTTTGTATATTATCATTTTTTACATTAAAAATCTGTCTATTTTCATCCTCTACTCTTTCCACATTTTTCGTTTTACATACTTCTTTGAAGTGATTTTTTTTTTTTAAACACTTTGAACAGGTTTTTTCCAAAGGCTGGGCATTTTTCTTTTTTCATTTCATGAATTTTTCCACAGTATGCCCAATTTTTTCTTTTTGTTTGTACCGTATATGTTTCAGCCATTATTTCTTCGTAGGATTTATTTTTATTTTGGTTGTAGGTATGTATTAATTCCTGCTGTTGTATAAATTCTATACACATATTCAAAGGCATGTTTGTAAGTTGTAACTGTTCCATTAACTTATATCTATGTGCTGAATTATGCATACCTTCAATTAATCTTAGTTGGATTAATTCTTCTTCCGTTGTCTGCTCTCCTGTTCCTAGTTTTTCGAATTCACAGTATTTACTCGCACTTCTTAACCAGTGTAAATATTTTACTATCGGTTCATCCACTTCCTGCTTCATTGCCATAAACTTGGTCCTTTCTGCAATCACCAGTCTTTTCTTTGGCCTCATGTTTCCCTTAATAACCTGACTTATTTCTTCGAAAGTCATTTCTTCTAGTTCTCAAGGGTAAACCATTGTAGCAACCTTCATAATCGCTTCACAACCAGCGGTAGCCATAAACAAGTCGGTGATTTCATTTTCCCCTCCTCTGTTTTTGTTGTCTTTCAACTTTTTACATCTTGCATTAGCAGCAAAGCAACGAATCCACATATTCTGGGTCTTCAAGTACTAAAGAGTATCCTATCGGCGACGCCATTGCTGTGTCGTGCATATTGCTAAGTAAGCGTTCGACCTCTGTTCTAGTTGGTGTCCGTTTATCATATGAGCTACCTGCTCATATGCAAATTATACTAATTTGCATATCACTACACAATTTAAATTACTTGCAGCAGTTTTTATTGTTTCTTAGAGACCTTTCTTTCTTTCTTTAAATATATTTGTCCATTTTTATATACATCTTTTAATGAGAAACCACAACTGGCAAACTTGGAACTTCCTACAAAAAAAATGGAGTTCAAAAGGATGGTATTTCATATTGAAACTGCTATTATTTTAACTATCTTCACTCCTTTATTGTTTTACAAAGTGATGATTAGAATTGTAATAAAACCTAAACATACTTTCTTTGTACTTGTGAATTGACAACAAAAAAATAAACACTATTTATTTATTAGATTGTTTATTGGAATGGGTGGCTAATTACCCATTGATTTGAACTTTATAAAATGATAAATAATAAGGATTTCTTTATAGTTGGTTCACATAAATAATTTAGTAAATGTTTATATATTAATGAATAAAAAATTGTTTTCATATATATTTCTTTATAAATTGGTAAATGATAAATATTCTATTACATTTTATACAATTGCATTAGTTTTTAAAATGTAAAATTATTCTTGTAAAAAACAATATAATAGTGTTTATTATTTTTGTTGTAAATTCTCAAGAAAAAAAAATGTATAAATTCACTTTTGTCATATGTTTAGGTTTTACAATTCTAATCATTGCTTCTTTAAAATAATAAACATTGCCAAAGAGTGAAAGTAGTTAAAGTAATAGTGGTGTCAATGTCTTTTGAGACTCTAGGGAGCATTCCATTAATTTGGTACCTTTCTGGCATGGTAGATAATACTCAACATTTCAGAAGGGAAGGAGAATTGTCTTGTATCAATATACTTATTAGCTTAAAGTTCTTTGTGAAATATGTTATAGACAAGTGTATGGTTGCAAGAAAGAAATACAACAGCAGAAATAGATTTACGTGATTTATTTCAATAGGAACGTGTGGGTTTGGGACAGCTACCTTGTGGTATAGTTCATAAGCCGGCTGCCGATCTGGGTTGATAGTAGTTCTCACTGGTTGGCGTGGTGCTCCTCCTGCTGACTGCCCGTGACAGATCTCTTCCCTGGCCTCCTGTTGACTGCCAGTACTTCCCTGTGACCCCTTTTATGGCGTTTTTTATGGCTTAACAGGCTCGAAAAACGATGCGAGTATACAATTAGGAGGGAAGCATTTTTATTGG